CTCGCCCCCGCTGCCAAGCCGCGGCTTCGTCGGACTGAGCAGGGAATGCCCACGGGGGCGCCTTTTAGACGGCCCTCCGGATTTGCATAACAATGGCCGGGCTGTGACGTTTCCCCGCCGCTCCAAAGGAGGCGCGGGGAGGGGGGAAGGCGCTGATTGGCTGCTGCGCAACGGGGGAAAGGCGCTGAGAGCGCGATGGAACGTTGAGACGGCCGCGGGGGGGGGGAATGCCCTCCCATTGCACAGAGTTCGTGTGTTGGAATGCATATCTCCCCCCCCCCGGGTTCCTTTATTTAAATAAATATTATCCCCCCCAACCCCACTATTGAGTCGAGGTTGCTATTTCCTTCGCCTTGCAATCCTAGGCAGCGAATCCCCTTTGCACTCCATGGCGTTTACTTCTGAGTAAACAAAAGGTTTTACTCGTAGAAGAAAAAAGGACTGTGGTTAGGGGAGAAAGGAGTCGGGGGGTGACAAAAAGGCGCAGGGGGCGGTCCCGATCCGTGAACAGCGTTTGAGCTGCATTGCAGACTGTGTTGGTTTCTCTTGCGCGCGCTCACAGACGTTACTTTCCGAGTGCTCCAAAATCTTAACCGCTTCCTTTTGAATCGGTTTACTCGGAAGTAAAAAGCACAGATTTCGAGGGGCTATTTCCAACACTGCCTACAAACGCTCAGGACCTACAATGCATATATTTGGACTATCACACTTCCATTTTCTAGGGATGTAGAGCGGGGTTTTATAGATTATATATTTATGCTTTTAACTGCTTGGGGCAATTAGCAAGGTTTTTTGTTTTTATTTTTATTCATTTAGTTTTGTTGTTGTTTATTTGAAACAAAAATTAACCGTCTTCTCTTATACATTTGCTAATCAGGAAGGAAATCGAAGCCCAGTGAGGCAATTAAGGCCTCATCCAGGCACAGTAGATCGTTTTCGAAATTCGGTTCCTTTCAGTTGAGTCATTCTCCCATTCAAATTAACTGGATGTGAAACCGTTTACTCTTTGGCTTATGCCGATATACTTTAGATCGGCATCCTTCTCCTAGGCGCAACCCCGGCTTTGGTCGTTTGTGAGTGCTGAAGAATGCTCTCCTAATCAGATCTGTTTAGTGAAACTTAAATTTTTAAAAAAAAAAATCTTCCCCCTCCCCAACCACCCTAGACACTAAATATTTTGTGCAGGAGCTTTTGTGCTGCCTGCAGAAAGGGGGCGCTGAGAGACAGAACTGTGATTTTTGTCGGGTCCCCAGCACAGAAAGAAGGGGCTCCGAAGGGGTATTTTGCCCCGACAAGATTTTTCTCAAGTCCATCACACGCCGCCCAAGACACGCACATACAGCAAACAATTAGACTTTTTTGTGAACCTTTGCACCCCCCTAGGGGGCTTCTATTTGCAGGAAATTCAAACTAAGGCCCTCCAATCCTATCAATATTGTGCTTTTAAACTATTTACTAATAAACAGTGTTGAACAACCACATAAGGAAGGAAGACTTCCTGAGCCTTTGAAAGAGCTGGGTGACAGGCAACAGTTCAACAGGTGAGGTTACTACCCTTTGCCTCTTCTTCCTGCCTGCAATGATTTCCCCAGGCTGAATTTCAGCCAGTGGTGGCAGCTAAGAAACCGACGCACTGTAGGAATGCCAAGCAAAGCAACAAAGAGTGCTCCTGAGCATGAGCAGACTGCTTCTACCACTGAGCAAGCCTGACTGGCGGAAGTTAGAAGAGAGAGGTGAGACAGGGTTGCTAGCCTCCAGGTGGTAGCTGGAGATCTCCTGGGATTACACCTGATCTCCAGGCAACAGAGACTAGTTCACCTGGAGAAAATGGCGACTCTGGAAGGTGGAATCTATGGCATTATATCCCATTGAAGCCCCTCCCCTCCCTAATATACAGTATGGGATTTGTTTATAAGCATCAGTACGTAGTCACAGCTCCACCATTGAGGTAGCAGCCTGAAGAAGTCACAGGAAACAGCCAGCAGCCTAGACGATCCGTAGCCGCTTCTTTTGTGACTGTGTTTAGAGACAAAGAGAGAGTGATCAATAACTTCTGTGAAAAAGGATTGTAATAGAAAATAAGGAACACTCTTTGTTGTCTAATATTTTTGTACAGGGTTTTGGTTTTTTTGCTAGTTTGCATACTTGCATATGCTGTACATCCATTTGGTGGTTGATTATTACCCCCTGGAGATTGGCAACTCTACAGAGACCCCCACATCAGCCACTTTTAATCTAAGGAGATAAAGTAGGGGCATCAAATTTTAAATAAAATAAATCCATTAACACTGAACATTTCTTTTTGCTGTTTAGTCTTTTGGGGTGTGTAATAGCACTGCTACCTATCAAAGTCTGTATTTCATGGGCCTTTCACACATGAAGCATACGACCCATTTTGGGGTTCCATCCCAGAATTGGAGAACTGTCCTGGGGAAGTCTCACTGGCTTCAAAGTAGATTCATGATCAACGTTTTTAGATAACTCATTAATTGGGGGAGGGGCTGCTGTGTAGGCCTCGTGGCAGGGAATCAGGATCAGCCAGAAATAGTGTGGCAGTGCTGGGGAGATGTAGGGTTCTTAAATCTGTCATTTAAAAATTATGCTTGACTGGCGTGTAGGATGTAGGAACAGTCCGGGTAGGACATGGCTGAACAGCGGGTGGAGCTTGGAGAAGTTTTCTTTCTTTTTTGGTGACTCTGTGTATGTGTGTGTGTGCGCACGGGTGCGCGTCTGGAAGTCGTGATTGACTTCTGGCGACCCCTAGTGGGGCTTGGACGTTTCAGAGAGGTGGCTTATTATTATTGCCTGCCTCTGGGTTCCAGCCCTGGTATTCCTTGGAGGTCTACCATCCAGGCACCTGCCAGGGTTGGCCTTGCATACCGTGTTTCCCCAAAAATAAGACACTGTCTTATATTTATTTTTTCTAAAGAAGACACACTAGGGCTTATACCTCAAATGCATAGAAATCCTGCTAGGGCTTATTTTTTGGGTAGGTCTTATTTTCGGGGAAACAGGGTAGCTTCCGAGATCTGACGAGAGATCGGGCTTGCCTGGGCTATCCAACTCCCGGCTAGCTTGAAGAATTTTCCTGATGGGGAGAAGGTGGAATGTAATGTTTCGGTTGGTTCAGGGATGGGTCTGGGTGAGGTTAGTGAGGTGGTGCGGCAAGCAAAGTGACTGAGAGGCTGGGCTGTGACCTGGAAAGGCCCTGGTTTAAATCCTACCCCTGCCACGAACACACCAGGCGGCCTTAGGGAAGCTTCCAGGGGCGTCTGACCTGGGCCTCATGCTTGGGTAGGCCACCCCTGGATGGAAGTTCCCTTTGCCCTGCAGCCAGCTCCCTAGCTGCCACCCTACAGGTGATCCCTCATGCTTCCTGAGACTCTGGCAACGTGGGGAGAGGAGGGCAATGAGCTGCAGGAAAGTCCCCTCCTCAGCCACCTACAGCTGATCCCCGGCACAGTCTCAGACTGAGGTGTGGGGGGGAGGAATCAACTGCAGGGCAGTTGCCCCCTCCAGCCACTCTCCAGCTGATCCCAGCTGATTGCCGCCCCTCCCCCCCACTGCCTGAGTGACCCTCCAGTTTTGTCCAGGACCCCAGAATCACTCAGACCGCCCCTGGAAGGTGGTCTCTCCATGTCAGTCCCTTATCCATAATTTGGAAGTAACCATAGTGGCCTATCTTACAGGGCTGTCCTAAGGAATACAACAAATAATGTATATGAAGCAGTTCAAACACGAAAAATGCTCATAGATCAAGATAGGTGGCTGTGTTAGTCTGTCTTCAGCCGCATAAAAGAGTCCAGTAGCACCTTGAAGACTAACAAAATTCGTGGCAGGGTAGGAGCTTTCGTCAGTCTCTGCTCACTTCTTCAGAGTAAGACTCTTACTCTTTTCTACTGCAGAAATGCTCCATCATGCTCAGTTATATTATCCAAGCTTGAACCAGGCTCACCTTCTTCAAAAAACAACAACAACAACCCAACACTGCGAAACGCTTCACTGCTTGAGTTCTGGGCCAGGAATGCAAATTGCCCACGACTTGTTTGGGAACCCAAAGATGAGGACTCTGCATGAGCCTCCCCAGTCTGAAAAAAGCAGTATTGCTTTTGGGCAAGGAAGGGGAGAGAGGACCACGTTGGCTTCTCCATGGCAGCCCCTTGGATGTCGTGTGCTTTCCCATCTGTGTGACTCAACAGTGGCTTTTCTCTAAAAATGATGCTGCTGCAAATACAAACCAGCAAAAGATGTGCTGACCCAAAACAATTCTGGAGGAGGGGAGGGGGAAGCGGAAAGTCAATAATAACAGCTGGGAAGAAGGAGTAGATTGGCAGGGTGAGAGAAAATTTGAAATGGGCAGCTGTTTTAACCACAGTGAACACCCCAGTGTTAGAAATGGCTGATGAGGAGTTGTGTCACTCTAAATCTGGTCTGTTCTTGCACTCACAGAAGCTGGTTGGAACTATTTACTTGGAGCTGATGTCACAGCTGTGAATCCTGTTTCCAGTCTCACCTCTGCTACAGACTCAGTCAGCGGCCGTGGGCAAGCCACTTTTTCTCAGCTATCCCTCAGTGTGTGGGATAATATCGATCCACCTTACAAGGTGGTCAAAAGAATCACTGAGGTAATGTATGGGAAGTGGCTTGGCCACTCTAAAATATACCTCATCATCACCATCATCATCTAAATTAGATAATCTTCTTTACTGGTGTTATTATTGAATGAATCCTTAAAACCTATTCAATTATTAAAGCTCGTCTTGTTGATATTAAAACTGAAGGCTGCTTCTCCAAATC